ACAATCAGTATTGGTAATAATATATTGAATTAAAATGGTGAAATACAACTTAGTTTTAAAGCACCATTAAGGGTCTTTACAAATTAACTAAATGCTCATGATTCCCTCCCATTCATGCTGTCCACCATCTCCTAAAATCAGCACCTCCCAAAGTCAGCTCCAATTCAGTGCTCAGACACAAAGCCCCAAGGCACCCTTGATTTTATGCTCTCACACTTCAGATCCAAGCCAGCAGTGAGTCCTGCTCTCTCTGCCTTCCACTCCTTCTCCACTTTCAATTCCTACTCCCCCAACTACTATCTCTATCTCATCCACCAACTTCTGCCTTCCAGCTTCTTTTTTTTTTTTTAGACAGAGTTTTACTCTGTCACCCAGGCTGAAGTGTAGTGGTACAATCTTGGCTCACTGCAACCTCTGCCTCTCGGGTTCAAGCAATTCTCCTGCTTCAGCCTCCTGAGTAGCTGTGATTACAGGCACCTGCCACCACGCCCTGCTAATTTTTGTATTTTTACTAGAGACAGGGTTTCACCATATTGGCCAGCCTGGTCTCGAACTCCTTACCTCAAGTGATCTGCCCACCTTGGCCGCCCAAAGTGCTGGAATTAGAGGCGTGAGCCACCTTGGCCTGGACCCCTTTCAGCTTCTGTCTTTACCTTTCATTTCTGCTCCTCACCACTTACAATCAGTACCACTAACTCCTTCTCTCCTCCACCTGATATCTCTACCTTCAACTCCTGCTCTCCCTACTTGTAATCTCCACCAGCACCATAAGACACACACACCACACACAGAAACACACACCACACCCAGAAACACATACCACCACCATCACCATAACCTCTGTTTCCACCACCACCATCCCCATCACCACCACGCGGCAGTTCTTGGTCTGTAACATTTCTAAAACCCTGCACAGAAAACACTGTTGGGGTCCTCTACCAACAAGCAGTCAGTGTCCTTTGGTTAAGCCCTGATGTGACTCTGAACAAAGCACCCTCTCCATTGTCCGAGTCTCTGGGCTGGGCTTCTCCTGTCCCCATCTGGAATACATCTGAAAGTGAAATGGACCTCAGGGAACACACCCCACTCCCCCCTGGGAGACATACAGGTTCCTCAACTTCCTTCCTCCTCATCCTCATGGAAGGTCGGGGACCAAGGATTGTTTTAGGTTAAGGACAGTATGGGCTTTTCTTACCTTGATTTCCTTGGCAGTAGAACTCCATCAAAAACTCAGTAGACTTCCAGTCCGTTTGCTCACAGTCAGTTCCATGCATCCACAGCTCACTTAGCGAAGCTCTCAGATTCCTTTCTTTGCTTTCCATTCCCATTTCTCATCCCTCACTCTCAGGTCAAAGATACCCTCCCTAGGCTGCAGAGCTCTGGTGGAAAGGCCCCACCTGTAATCTATTCTTTCAGACATTCAATCAGATTACAGGTGTTTAAAAATCTCAACCCTTAAATCTGTGGGCTAAAAGTAGTTTTATTTCACACTGAGAGATCCAAATTTCTGGCTCTCTGTGTTTTTTATTTCCTTTTACAAATAAGCTGATCTGTCTGTATAAGCTCACCCTCTTTCTTGTAATGCATTATCACAATGAACCTATACTGACCCAAACAAGCTACATTGTCCTGATTAAGTGCAAGAAGGGCTGGGCTATATTGAGAACACACACACATACTCAATGATCCACACAGCTGGTTGTCAAATTACTTTCCTAAATGTCCTTATCAATTCACACTTCTTCCAGCAGTAGGTAAGAGATTGCCTATCTGTATTCTTCATGCATTTGGCTTTATCATTTCCTTTTTTGCTGTTATTCTCACAGGTCTGTACAACAAACTTTAAGCTCCCCAAGGATTGGAACCATGTCTTCCTAATTTTTATGCTTCCAACTACTGGTAAGTGAAATATACTTGAATGTTGATATAATGAATGTATATAAATAAATGAATGAATGGTAGGATTACTCATCTGTTTTCAGTGTAAAAATTTATGAATTCCAAGAATGCACCTGTCAAAGCACCTACCCCAAGACTTTGATCTTAACAAAGCTTTTCTATAACCTTCCTCAGATCTCTTGGAAAACTGTGCTTTTGTGACTTTAGCCAGAATAATAGCCAATCAACAAAAAGTAATTTCCAGCCCCATCACCCTCACCACCGCTCCATCGTTTATGAAGCAGTTGAAGCAAATCAATTCAGCACTTCATATTTCAGTTCTCTACCCTTTATAATGAGAGATGGTACCCAGTGGACATGAATAACCAATAGAAAGCAACTGGAACACAGAGAACTCAATGTACGCTAATAAAGTCCAGGTGATTTCTATATATGGGAAACATTTTAAGTAGCTGCCACAATTTTATGTCTAAAAGCAGAGTGAGTCATGCTTCAGGAAGAACTAATGGACCTTAAAGAGAATCTGAGGAGCACACCTCCCTGACAGTGACCTCCTGATCTGTAGAAAGACA